GTTTTGCTGTTTTGTTTTGATTTGGGTTTTGTTTGTTTACTTTTGATTTTTTTTAGTCATGTTCTTATTTGTATTCATTTTTATAATACCTCTCATTTTTCGGCCCTTTGAGAAGAAGAAAGAATTTAAAGAAAGGATTGAAGACAGTTAATGCTCGTCCCAGAGAGAGGAATCCTTTCTGGTATGGCTTTAAGTAGCCAGATAAGCAGTCTACTTCTAACTAGGGTAGTGCAGCAGGTTACACTTAGGTACCAATAAGGTGGCTAGGTGATGCTAGACTTAGTTATTAGGAAAATTTTATGTAGTTATTGTATATAGTTGCAAGAATCTTAATAAAGTACTAGTGTAGCTGCTTAAGAGCAAAAAAAAAAAAAATATATAATATAAAAAGATAATCATTAGAATTAAATCAAATAAATTAAATCAAATTATAATCAAAGCACAAAATAAAACATGATACAATATAATTAGTCAATCTGATTGACTAAAATCATTTACCTCAGTTTACAAAAAATTTACCTTCAATTAAACTGATTTATAATAAAATTTAATACTAAGGAGCATACTTGAAACAAACTTGATCAAAAAAAAAAAAATGCCTCAGATTTACATCTGAATCTTACAAACCAGTTTCAACCTTTACTAGTAACACAAGATTACTCCAAAAATCTGATTGGCTGTATTGACTAGAACAAAACTCCTAGTGCATAGGCAAATGCCTCACTTGTTAATAATTAAATAATTGATCAGCTATAGCAATGGCTAGTCGATAATAACTGACTGATAACCAATCATAACTGATTAAATTCATCTCTATTTAGGAAGATCATATTTTATATAATCTTGTGATGTTTAGTAATTGATATGTAGATAGTAAATTATAAATAAAATTTGAGGAGAAATCTTTAACACATCCAATGGTCAAAATTTTATATAAAATAAAACTTGTTCATACTGTAAATATTTTTTTCTGCTATTTTTTCAAACTTTTTACTAGCTTTGATTTATTATTAAAAACCATATTCACTTCTGGATCTTTCTATGTAAGGTTCATGGAATTAAGAGTATCAATCTTCTTTTTAAGAGAATCATATAGGTCCATTAGCATCAGTTGAGAGGTGCTAAAACACAAATAATATTAGTAAATCTCAAACTCGTAAAATAATATCAATAAAAGTGATCTAATACCTACATCAAGTTTTTTCTTCAAAAAATCAAAATCTTCTCTCTTATAATCTTAAACTAGTTCCTTTTTCTAAATAACTTGTTAGTTTGTATTATATAAGTATAATCACAATCTAGATTAGTAACTAGATACTATACCATATTCAATGCTATAATTGCATTCAAATCTTTAACACTTTTGTATACATTTTCCATCTATTGTAAATATGGTTACAAATATCAGTATATTATACATAATTAGAAGCTAATCTTTAATAGTGCATTATTATTATAGTTATAACAGCTACATATAGCTGAGAGAGAGCAGAAACCCTCAACATCTCAAGAATAGCAAATCCTATGATATCACTCTTCTGAGCTGACATTTCACAACTAACATACCAAAACTTAGATTCAATATCTCTGTAATTCATCATTTTATATAAATTATAGTTGTAAAAAATAATATCTTACTAACCTGTGATAGAATTCTTAATACTTTATCTCTTCTATTAGAATTACTTATTCCTTCCAATGCTTTTTTAACTGTACACTCTGCCAATTCTCTAATATCTTCATATTCACTTAAAGTATTATCAACAATCACCAGATAAACAACTGATGCAGAACAAATGACATCTAATGATTCTTCTGTTAAAAGTTTTACATTCTTAACAATTGGGTTGATATAGTAAAAGTTGCAGTAATTTTGAATAAGATATAGCAGAATTATTGGTATAAAAAATTAGTTGCGGGAATTTTGAATGAGATGTAGCAAAATTACTAATATAAAAAAAATAACATTTAGTGTCATATAATGCCCTTTTATATGTTTGGCTTTCACCTCTTTCCTGAAATCAAAGAATTTTCTTATGTCAAGAAAATTTTGAGCTGCTGGCCTAGTGTTCTGAGTTGGTAAAATTTTGCCAATCGATTAGTTGCCAACTATAGTTGCAACTAATCGATTATGAGATCACGTGCTCAAA